GTTAGAGGATTTGTTCCATAGACACTGGGGTTACCATCCATATGGAATCCTCTGGTGGGTCAGTCCAGTGAACTTGCTGTGGTGTAATCGCCTACAACAAACACCCATGTGTTGCACCAGGTTGTCACCAAACAACCTTGACAAGTGAGATCAGTCACTGCCTTTCGACAGGGTCGTTCAACACTATGATAGCCTTACCGTATTATCTGTGCCCTTAGTTCAGAATAATACTGGGGCTACGGACGTTTCTAGAATGGCCACCATATGTGCTCATAGGGTTCTCACTATCAAGATTTGAAACACTTGATACCCTCGTCACGGCTCTACCATTCTAAGGACATATATCAATACATATTGCAATAATAATGATTTACGCGATATAGAATAAAATGTCTTTTATTGATTAATGAACATTATTACAAAGAGTCAATTCTACAATAATTGATTGGCTCTAGGGCATCTACTCTAACAACACATGACCCAAACGAGCATGTCAAACATCGAATGAAGCTTGAGGACAATTATTAGAGAAAACAGAAATTAAAGATTGATGTCCACGCTCAAGCACATAAAGATTGTCTTCATGCTGTCCGGTTGCCACCACCTTTCTTGTGACTTGATTTTGTATAATAAAGCAATCATTAGTAAAGGTGATAGAAAATGGGAAATTAGAGGTAAGTTTACTCATGGAAATCAGATTTTTGGTTAAGCAGGCACAACTAAGACATCATTTAAAGCAAGGGAAGAGGTTGGAGAGAGGGTACCATTGTGAGAAATGGGAAGAAAGGCACCATTACCAACAATAACACAATCCTTACCAGTGTACGTATCAGACTTGTCCAACTAAGAAGCATCATTAGTCATGTGCGCAGTGGCTCCAGTGTTCGTATACCAATCAGAAGCCTGATTATCATTGAGTGTGCATGAGGTGAAAGCCTCCACAAGGTTGGCAGCATTTGAGGAATGGGAGTAGTGGTCACGGCAAGAAGTGGTGTAATGCCCTTCCCCACGACAAATCTAACAACGAATAGGACGATTGCGTTGATGACGACCACCACCATGGCTACGACCCCCATGAGAACCACGACCACCCACGAGCAGAGGCTGATTTGTTACTGTGAGAGGCAGTGAAGGCGGCAGAAATGCATCCCATGGAAGGCAGCTCCAATGATTTAACAAAGTTTTCATTACTCTCCTCCATAGGAACAATCTCAGTAAAAGAAGGGAGAGATGAAAGACATAACTGTGTAGTAGAAAAAGTAGAGAAAGTAGAGCCAAGTCCACGTAAATACCAATGTATTTTGTCGAGTCATCTACGAAGCAGCCCATGGCAGCAAGCTGGTCACAAACAGATTTGAACTCATGGGAATATTCAACAACAGACTGAGCATCTTTCTTCATATGCTGCAATTCATCTTTTAAACATAGCTCCCGGGATTTGGAACGATGACTAAAGCTAGTCTCCAAAGTGGACCAGACTGCATGCGAAGAGGTCAGGCCAACAACAATAGACAGGGCTTCTTCCGTCAACGAAACAAGGAGGAGACTTAGTATAAGTTGATCGGTCTGCTACCATTGAGCAAATGTTGGATTGACAGTGGCAAAGGCACCAGAACTGATAGTTGCAGAAGGAGGTGTGATGGAGCCATCAACGTATCCAAGGAGATGTTGACACTACAGCAATGACAGTACTTAACTACGCCAGAGGAGAAAGTTGGAAGAAGATAACTTGATGGTCAAGAGGTGGACCATGGTGTTGAAAGACAGGGTAGGGGACGGAGTTTCGGAGGCCATTTGGATCGACGAAGGTGAATCCTTAGAGGACTACTGATCCCATGACAAGGTTTGAAAAACCACCTTGAAGTTGTCTGGTGGTGCACGTCTCATTTATAGAATATACAGAGCAATATTACAGCAAGATGATTTACGTATAAAGTCAACATTTCCATCTATAGCTATTGTCTATACTCAAGAGATTGCCTAGAATCATGGGATTGGGTTTTGATAAAAGATACACCATGATTGAGGAGGATCTTGCGGATCCTTCTATATCCGTAATAGTTTCGTTATTGATGGTGCATTCTCTTTTTTTAATCCTAATAATTTTATCACTTTTTATACATTTGTGTTGATTTTCTTTTATGGGTTTGCATTTAATTCTTCCTTTTCAGGAATCTAGATCAGATATCAATCTTTTTGGATAAAAAAATATCGTACTTGTCTACTTTTTGACATGGCATTTATACTATCTTATGAAGTATATTAAAATTATTTGGGCAGGTTCTGAAGCATATCATATTGGGCGTCAATTTCTGAACTATTTTCTGGAAAGGTGTAATCTGCTTGGGGTAATGGATTAATTATTTTTTATTTCTTTCGTATGTGTATGCATACACTTCGTAATAAATTAATTAATAAACACAACGCTTGTGACCCATTGATCACTCAAGCATTGGACACCAAAATAGTTCATCTGTTTTTGTAGTTTGTTTAATCGTAATAAGAAGCGTAGTAGGGTGAGTAAATATTGCGTGAAGCATGCTGAATGTCCTGTTGTCGCTGTTAATGCAAAGGCAAATAGGCCTGTTAATGCAGATGCAGATGGAGCTGATCCGAATTGATATCAAAACTACTCAATTGGTTGGAATTATTTCACCATTTGTCATAAGATGTGCTCGTGATTTTAATTGTTCAGACAATATTATGATATGAATTTTTGTTTGGACTAATATATGCTCAAAGAAATCCTTGTAAACTCATCTTATGTTTGTATCCAATCCTGCACGATGTATATAATTCAGGCTCTGGCATCCACAATGCTGTCGGCATCCAGCTCTTATCACCTATAGTCCAAAATCATTTAGAACAATCTTAATCTTTAAGAGTTAATAGTCCTTGCGACTACTTGATTCTTTTGAGCCTAACCTAGGGTTTGTCCTATAGTAGGTTGATCCTTTTTTGTACAGTCTTGTATATTCTTTTCTTTTAATGAACATTTACTTTACCCAAAAACAAAACAAAACAAAACAAAACAAAACAAAAAGTTTAAGATAGAAAGTAGCCGCTAGTGCCGAGTCACACTTACAATATGTTATTCACATTTATTGCATATACATGAAAATATTTTTTAACCTTGAATTCTTTTCTTTCTTCTTTTAGCGGGAACATGGCATGAAACATTGCCATTGTTTATCAACAGATTGGTGTTCACCAAAATCCATGAAAAGAAGAATAACAAACCCAAAACAACAGCTGATGTTTATTTACCCCAAGTCTCCATGGACAGCCTATTACTGATCACAGCAATAGCTTGAGAAGGCCTTTGACAGTTAATCTATGATAGGAGTTTTTAACAATCTATTTAAAGCAATTTCAAAGAGCAGATGCAAATCCTGCTTCCGCACCCAAATTAAAAAGGTTTTGACATTTAAAAAAATCAGCGATATTTTCCTTTCTAAATAAAGGAAATGCAATGAGGTAAACCTTCAAATGGCATGTTTATACACCAAAGTTTGTATGCTCATATAATACCAACTGGCTAGAGTTATCTAAGACTTCACATATTAATGGATTTGGGAAATGGATAGAACATTACAACAATTGGTGCCTAAAACATAAAACTTGTCCAAATTCAAATGGTGTTCCACAGATCTTAGTGCTGAAGTTTAAGAAATCACTCTGCATTACAAGTCACAACAAAGAACAAAACTGAGCACAAAAGTTTGTTGATAAAGAAATCAACTATACCTTGCAATTGGCAACCCACTCCACAAAGAAGAAGAGACCTTACACCTGCAGCCTATTGTATGGAATAATTCATTGCCATATGGAACCAGAGCTTACATTCTCATATATTTCTATTGATTATCACATGGATGTATGTGAACGAAATAGAGACAACAACAGAAACAAAATAATAATAGTAAAACAAAACAAACAGTAAACTAAGAAAATAATACGCACGATTTACCCTGGTTCACCCAATGTGGGCTACGTCCAGCTGAGTCAATATTATTGCAATATGCCTCACCTCTCTCGTTTACAATGAATGAATTGCTCTCTCACACATAACAAGAGAAAAGTATGTTTATATACTAGGTTTAAGAGATTAAACCTAGTTTTACAAGGATTCTTATTCCTACGCCCAACCCAAAAAGGAATTAGTAACTTAAAAGAAATCCTACAGCGGTTATACATGGAAAAGCCCAAAACCGCCTACGGGCTCGAGGGCGCTGCCCCCGCGACCCCCGCCCGCTCACTGGGGAGCGGGGCACCCGCCTGCTGACCGGGCAGCGAGACCCCCGAGTGCATCTCCGTTACCCATTAATGCTGAAGTAGTCGACAACTCCAACATTATGCAGGTTTTTGTCGAACCACATTAAATCTGATGTTCTTTGTGTAATCGTTTTTATTGTTTGTCTTTTTTCTCGTTAAATTTGCATCTTACCGATCCTATAATAGTTGTTTAAATTTACATTCAGTGATTTGTGTGGCATTTTAGTTTCTTCATTTTCAGTGTCATTCTTAATATAAGACAGCTTCCAATGAATTTGGAGTGCAGATTATAAACAAAATAACTACATAAACAAATTGAACAAGACAGAATTTTTTTTACTAAGAATGTTAAATAAATTTCTGTTTTAAAGTTTAGTTTTTATATTAAAAATTGTTTTCTTAGGTAGAATGTATAAATAGAATTCAACACAAATATAAATGAAAACTATATTATCAAATACTCACTGATGCTTTGTCAAGTGCGGATGCAGTTAATATTATTAATTAAAGAATTAAGGAGGGCATAGGATTGGGGTAATTAATGAATCCATCTATTGTCTTTCAATATTCCTAAGCTTATAATATGATTTGGTTAATTTAATCACACCATTAATTGAAATTTAATTAATGGTTGCAGGTTGACTGTTACTCATGCATCATTCTTTCGAAACTCATGAACATAATATAAAATAATATATTCATAAATAAGTAAATGGGCTGGACCAATGAATAAATTCTCTCTCATTTGGACACTAGATTGTGGCAGGTTTTGTCACAGGGATAGGGACAGTCAATAGCCTTAACAACTTCTCGATCAAAATACCAGTCTCCAACAGATTTTGCAACACTCTGCATAATTGAAAATAAAAATTAACAGATATATTTAATTAATGAAGTTTCACATGTATTATAAACTATATCAGTGGGCAAACCTTATTCTGAAGAAGAGGAGAATCCTTAGCAAACCAAGTATCCTGTCTCTCAGAGTGGCAATGAGCAAAACAGGAGTTTATGAATAAACCATTTTGTTTTGACTCGGAGAAAATCTTTACAGCATCGAGCATTTGATTTCTGAAGTCTGAATTTTAAAAGGGTAAGAAGAGAAAAGATTATAATATTAATCCATGCTCTTTTATAAATTTAGTGGTTATATGTGAATTGAATTGAAAGTTACAAGAGTCACCTTGGAGGAACTGGATCTGTGATGAATTACAAAGTGCGTGATTCTTTCTGCATTCAGTCCAGGAACCATGAGGATCAGCTGATTGTGGAGCTAAACTACTTTGAACCTGATGAAAATAAATATATATAAGAAAATCAATTTAGGCTTCAGCATTTTAGAACCAGCTTAGTTTTGATATTTTCCTGGGAAAGAAGTCAAGTCCGGTGAATGTAAATAGGAATTACCTGCCACACATCGTATGCGGAATTGACAAGAAACAAAGGGGTCTTGATGTTGGCGATCAAATTTTGAGGGAAGAAGCACTGCAGAGAGAGTGAACATATTTCATTGTTATACATCATCTCACTTTTTGATATCTAGACATTTTGATAATAAATGTCAATCAAGAAAAGAGAGATGTTTTACCAAAGTTGGATCCAGCCTTCTGGTACAAGTTCTTGGCAGATTTTTTTGTACTTCCTAATATTCCAAACAAAAGGGTCAATGTAGAACTTCATGTCATAGTTAAATTGCATTTTCTGTCAAAGATATTAATAATTTTTATATAGTACCTGTAAGGTAACTACGCCGGCATACATATTCCTTAGGCTGCGCCCACCAGATACATCAACTCTGCAGAATAATGAAGATCATCAGTGGAATGTGCTTACAGATTAAAATAAAAATGAATCCCAATGGTAATCATAACTTAAAAGAACAAAGATTTTAGGCAATTACGCATCAAGGAACATTCCACCATCACTTAGGCATTTCACTTTAGATTTGTTTGGAAATAAGCCCCGAAACTCATCACAATGAAGAATGGATGCCAGACCCCCAGCAGAGCATCCAGAAAGAAGAGCCTGAGTAGATGTATGCACAAAACAATCAAAATCCCAGAGCTAAACAAAATTAAATAGAAAATAAAAAAGAAATTGATATTTTTCAATTGTAAAACCTGTGTAGCATTTTGCATTCCCTTGGCCATTAAATGTTCCATAGCAGCTAACCAGATACGTTGTCCCCGAAAATTAAGTTGTGCAGCATCATTTCGACTATCCCCACTAAAAGAAGCTCCATCACAGTACCGCACCTTAACTCTGTTCCAGTTGAAGAAATCTGAAAACATAACAAGGCCAAACATAAATAAATACCATCCATAAAGGCGGCGATAGCTGAATATCAATCTGCTCTTGACAGGTAAGTAAAAGCATGTAGATATAGAGAAATTAACCAGGATTTTCTTCAGATTTGTTGCTCAATATTCCCGTAAATGCCAGTTCCTTCTCCATAAATTTCGACGAACCGCGACGAGAATTTTTCCGATAGACGCAAGTTCTAATGTTATTACACCATCCACCTCCCTGCATTAATACAAAACACAAATAAATAAATAAATTATTATTATTATTATTATTATTCAATCAAAGTAATTACACTAGTAATATAAAATGGCGTGTCACAAACATCCAATTGAATGAGCCAACTGTTTGCTCCTAATCCAGACCCCCGATGCCAATGATATCCAGGCAGCGTCCCGTCCAAACACACTGCCGTATTATATGTAACACATCAAAAGTAAATATATTTTGTACCATGAAATTTTTTAATAAATATAAAGGATCCAACTATGAAATATACCAGCTCCTTTAGAATCAGCTCCTTGAATAAGAGTGAGAGGGACCATGAGAGGTTCGGGAGGAGAAGCAGGCGCTGCATCGGCAGCTTCGCTTTGTACGTAAGAAAACAAACTGTCTCCCACCATGAAATCCTCAGATCGGCCCAAAACAAGCCACAAACTCAAGAAGCTGCAAACACACCAGGCGCGCTTCATTTTGTAATGAGTTTTCTTTTGTGAACTACTACTGAATTATTATATTTTTGTATAGGGTAACGTAGATGCAGCTGTATATATAATGCTGGTTGTTACTAACAAGTTATTGTTGTTGTGGATTCTCAGTTTGGTAATGACCTTTTTCGTGAATGTAATAATAGTGACAGCTTGCTTTCGTTATTGGGTAGTTCTAGCCAATTATAGAATTAGCTATAGAAATTAATTAACGGTGGCAGATTGATTACTTCGCGATCCATCGATCGATCAAGTGTGCGATACTAAAATTGGCCTTTTCAATTTTGTGGAAGGCTTCAGGCTGAGCTTTGTCAGTATAAAATCTATTTGAAGCCTATTTACAGAAATTCATATGAACCAAAAAAGCTATTCTAGGAATTTCACAAATAAGCCGAAAATGCTACACTGTATTTCTAGCATTTCTGAAACTGCCCTTGGCGGGCTTGGCCGTTATCAGATAACTGACTAGGCTCACGGTAGCAAACACCAGATAGTTAATCACTATTTTCTCTTACCATACTCCTATATAGATCACTGTTCTTCATTAATTCGTGAAAAAATCAAGAAGCATTAGTATTAACCAAGAAAGCGAAGAAGAAGAAGAAGAAGAAGAAGAAGAGAGAGAGAGAGAGAGAGAGAGTTGACTCACGGAGTTACTGCTAATTTCTGAGTGAGTTAACTAGATATGGAGAACCCGGAGCAGGATAGCCAGGAGCAGGAGAGCCAGGAGCAGCAGAGGACTCACATATTGGTGGCAGTGACCAAGTCGAGCAAGAAAGGGTATCCTAACCCCTCGAAACGTAGCAGAGCAGCCTTGGAATGGATTCTTGAGAACATCGTTCGACATAACGTTGATCGTTTCAACCTTCAAATCCTCCACGTCCAATACCCAAACGCCAGTACGTTATTATTTTCTTTCTCTTCTTTATTTCTGTTTTAGTTAATTTGTAGAGAATAGTTGTGTGCTTTGGATTATTATTTTCAATATTATTTTTCTGTTTGGTTCTTGGGAAAATGGAGGAAAAGTAATTAAATCTTGAGGCTGCCTAACTTTTCCAAGAAACTCAATGGAAAACACATGTTACGCACAAGTATTCTGCGTTTCTAGAACGATTATCAAGAAAATCATTAGTAATTGATTCATTTAATTAATAATACTGGTTTCTGTATGCTAGATTGAAACGAAAAATAAATTTACGTGAAAGAATTTTCAGAGTTTTGTTTCTTGGTTATAAAGAAATCGTTCAAGTTAATTTCTTGAATTAAACATAATTGCAACTTTTTAATTCTTTGATTTTATCTTCGTGAGCTGATAATTATATGTAAAATGAATGTTTTGGGCAGGTGATGAAGAATATGAAGACGGGGTCAACATGCTGGAATACTTTGAATTTGAATGCCATAAGATTGGGGTATTACTATTAATGGATTGATTATCAGTCGATTAATTCCTAGATTTAATTAGTTTAATCTTTACGATGATTAATTGGAATTCATTAATTAATGGTCCTAGGCTGCTTATGTCGCATGGATCGCTCAAGGGCCTGATCCCAAAATAGTTATTTGCAATGAAGTGGAACGACTCAATGCCGATCTCCTCGTCATGGGAACTGGAAAACTTGGTTCTATTCGGAGGTATATATAATATACGTATGCATTCATTTTTTACTTCATTCTGGAACTATTTATATATTAATACTTTTTTTTTTGTAGGTTTTTTAATCGGATTCGGGGCGAGAGTGCGAGTGCATTCTGTTTGAAGTATGCTGAATGTCCTGTTATCACTGTTAGTGAAAAGGCAACTAAAAGGCATATTGCCCTTCAGGAATTACGTCAAACTTCCTCAATGTGAGGCCCGTAAATGAGTGTCAAGATTCAAGACCAAAAGGAATAAGATGACAAGATAGGCAAAAAGAGAAATTTTCTTTTCTTATTTTTTTAACCAAACGATAGACTATGACTGAGCATTGATAACTGCTTTGGTTCTTCTACTTGAAAGATTATAAATCAGAGGTTATTGATTAGCATTTCTTTATTTCTTATGATTTTTATCACTTTCTTGTTAATTTTTCTTTCAGTTTTCTTGCATTTAAATCAGATATCTTTCTTAATATATTCTAATAATTAGTTTAATCATAGGATTGGTTGGAATTAGTTAATGGTTGTAGGTAGCTAGTAGCTCAAAGGTCATGCTAGGAATTGATCCTATCCTATATGTGCATGCATTAGTTTATTCTTCATTTTGAAACTATTAATATGTTTTTCATCGTGATTAGAGTTGCATTGTGAGTGAATATTGCTTGAGGCATGCTGAGTTTCATAGACTAATTATTAACTAATTATTAAAATTAGGTATACTACTATATATTTTAAGTAATATTTAATTTTAATTAATCTAATTTTCTCATGTGACAATAACGTATGAATGAAGAATCATATGATATTGTCACATAAATATTATACAATCACTTCAAATAAAATAAAAAATCAGAGATAATTACTTGAAGATTCATTAGAATGTAAAATGCACCCAAACTGATTTTATAATTTTAAAGTTGCCAATGTTGTTGAACTCCTATATTGGTGTCAGTGTCCAGTCGATCGAGAAAGGGTGCCCCTACGCCTCGGATAGTAGCAGAGCAGCTTTCGACTGGATTCTAGAGAACATCATCCGATCTAACGTTGCTTGTTTCAACCTTCAATTCGTCCACGTACAAAACCCTGATGCTAGTACCCACTTATTCTCTTTCTCTTCTTTATTTTTGTTTTCGTTAAATTGTAATGAACAATTGTGTGTTTAGGATCAATTATTATTTTTCTGTTTGGTATTTTAGAAAGTGAAGGAAAATAGTTAAATCTTGAGGCTGTCTAACTTTTCTAGGAAATTCAAGGGAAAAAAATGTTGTATAATTTAAGTTTTGCGTTAATTAAGTACAAGTCATTCTGCGTTTCTAGAAGAATCATCAAGAAAAACATTAGTAATTGATTAACTTAATTAATAATACTGGTGAAAATTTTATATATATACTAGCTTGAAATGAAAACAATAAGTAAAAGAATATTGGGGCATGTTTGGCTTATTATTATTATCCTTATTCTCAATCCTATTCTCCAAATAATGTTTGGCACATTATTCCAGAAATATTACCCTTTTTTTAATTACTTCTAGACCCCAAAAGGTTAATAATTTCATTAAATACCCCATAAAAAAAGTTTAAAAATTAACAAAAACACCCCTATGATCCATAATTGCCAGGTGGTTGCCGGAATCTGCCACAACAGTGAATACCGACCGGAACGAGTAATTCACCGATCTGGCCTTTTTCAGCCAGATCCACAGTGGATCTAGCTGGAAAAGACTAGATCTGGCCATCAACGACGGCAACCGGTCTATGTCGTAACACGATTTTTCATCCAGTTCCGGCGGTGGTAGCCTGAATCTAGCACTGCAGTGGTGGGGGGTATTTTGTCATTTTACATGTTGTGGTATTTATTAAATTAGTTAACTTAGGGGTTTTTTATAAATTTTTAAATGTTACCTCGTAATACTCCCATATTCAAATCCATACTATCCCAAAATCTATCCAAAATAATAAACCAAATGCACCCAAATTTTTTTTTCGTTTTGACAGAATGTTAGAGGGCCCCTTTGGTACACAATTTTTCACTACTCTATTCCTTATTCTATCCAACATACTAAACTTATTTCTTTATTCTCAAAATATTATTCTATATTATTCAATTCTTTTTTAAACCCTCTATATTTATATTCAATCTTTAAACCCCCTAGATTTGTTAATTTAACTAAACACCCCAAAAAAATTTAGAAATTGACAAAAACACTCCAACAATCCACATTTGCCAGATTTCAGCCATCACCGTCGGAATCTAGTATAATGGCGCACTACCGGCTGAATCTGGCCGATAGTGCGCCGATCTAACATTTTTCGGCCTATGGATCTAGCCGGAAAATGCTAGATCTACGGCCAAAGATCTGGCCGTTGATGACCAGATCTTTGGCTGTAGCTAATCGTCAATGACGGCCATATCTTTGGTCATCGTTGACGACCAAATGCAGCCAGATCTGGCCATTAATGCCAGATCTAGCCGTAGATCTAGCATTTTTCGGTCAAATCCACTGTGGATCTGATCGAAAAAGGCCATATCGACGCACGACCAGCCAGATCCAGCTAGTCGTGCCCTGATACGACGACGTCAGCCACCCTTCGGCGGTGGTGGCCGGCTGTTAGTATTTAATGGGTGGGTGGGGTGTTTTTGTTAATTTTTAATATTTTATTATAGGGGTGTTTAGTAAATAAACAAACTTAGGGTGTATTTTTGTTAATCTCCAAATCCTACATCGTAATAACCACCCAATTTTACTATTTTCAAAATATTATTCTAAAAAGTATCAGAATAATGAACCAAGTGCACAGAGTTATTAATAATTTAGTTATCGATTGGCATATTTTTCTCTTGATTCTACGCATTCAAGTTAATCTTCTTTCGGAATTGTATTCAGTTTGTTGTAAATTGAGTTTACCTAATCAAGATTGAGAAGATAATCAACTAAACACAGATCAAACAAGAAAGAACAGCACGCAATCTTTTTACTGTGGTTCACTTGTTCAAGATTGAACAAGCTACGTCCACGTTGAGCTCCAGAATACGGAGGCTTGCTGCACTATTATTACCACGGAATCACAAAGTACAATCCTCAGTAACACACTCAATCACTTGCTCAATCAGTCACTCGCAAGAACCACAATCTCTGTACTCTTATCACCATAAATCTACAATCCTATAGAGAAATCTATCCCCAATTCTCTACGCTAAAAAGAAACACAACTTTTAGGTGGATTTACAACCAGATTTACACAAGAGAACAGTAAGAGATGAAGAACCCTAGCAGAGAATTTTCTAACGCGAAATTACAAAGGAATTGCACTGCATAAATTGGGAGAACTTCTGCTTTTATACCATTGACCACTAGAGGAGATTTCAACCATTTGATTAGTCATAGATCAATGGCCAGGAATGCAAGGGAGATTGCTTGAACTGGCAACACATCACTAAAGCCCAAAAAACAACACAGTTTGAAGGCTTCACACATTAACATAATTCTTCTTTTTGATGAATTAAATCAGATATTTATCATATTTAGTATTATGAAATCTCTCAATAAGTCAATTTCCTGAATTATTCGATTTTCCATAAAGAATTAAACAGTCTGATTGTCTTTTGTCTTCCTGAATCTGCTTATAATTATTTGTGAATTGAATGTTCTGGGAAGCAAATTGAGAATATGTAGGAGCCCTTGACATGCTTGAACATTTTTGTGAACGATGTCATCGGATTGGGGTGATTAATGGATTGATCTTCATTCAATTCCTATCTTCTCATATATAGATTTAGTTAGTTTAATAATTAATTGGAATTAATCAATGGTCATAGGTTACTGCTATCTCATGGATCAATACTGGGGTTGATATGAAAATAGCTATTTGAGACGAAGTGAAACGATTCAATCTGGATCTTTTCGTCATGGGAAGTGGAAGAAAAGTTTAATCTTTTCAGAGGTATTTATATTTGTATGGATTAATTTGTACTTCATTTCAAAGGTATATATATAAACGAGCTTAAAGTTGAGATTAACCAGCTTCTTTCCTTCAAGTGTATGTTGTAGGATAACCTTGAATTAGGCTCCTATCAGTGTTGTCTGCCTATACTAGAATTAGCCATTCATTTCAGACGATTGTTGTGGTGGAAGGTTCATAATCTCTAGAAGTTCAAATTAGTTGTAAGTTATGAACAACCCTCCAAATAAAACATGGTTATTGGGTGAATTGAATCCTCAAAATTATAGTTGAATAAATGCAGGATCTCAGAGTGTATCATTGAGGGTTATGTGAGCATAATAGAATGTCATACTGTTCTTTTTCACATCATACAACAAACGCTATGCAAAATTTAACAGGTGATATGCACAAAAAGAACTTCTATGTTCTAATAGCCATATTACAAATACAAACCTCTTCTACAACATAGTAATTAATGTTCATGTAACACAACATTACTATGCAATCTCCAACACCAAACGGGTACTTCAAGTTAACAACACTATTGGATTTATTATATAGTTGTTAATTGTTGTGATTAGTTTGTTATAATTAGTATGTTGTAATTAGTTGATTAGTTAGAGTGTACTTAACTGTGGTTGACTTAACCATGGTTAATAAGGTTTGTATATAACAAATGTAATATATATGTCTTTGTACTCAAGACTAAAGTTGAATAATAGAAGCAGAGTTTTTTACTCTCTCTAAAACGAATTGTAAATGGTATCAGAGCACATGGTGCATCGTTTCAAGCTAAGCTGAAGTTTTAGCTTCTTCAATCAAGCTCAAAGCTTCTTCAATCAAAGATCCCCAACTTCTCGCACAATCAAAGATTTCCAGCTTCCTAGGTTAAATTCCTTCAAATCGAATATTCTCAGCTTCGCGTCTACAATCAACTTTAAAGCTACTGAGATTGAAGCTTCTCGTCTTCAATTGAACTTCTCATCAGATTCAATTTGTCTTCAATTGTCTTTAATCAAGCTTCTCTTCTATTCGTTCGAAATTGCTCATGTTGCCAAATCGAGCTAATTTCTTCAAACAGAATTTGAATGTTACTGATTCAGGTTCACCTTTCTACATTCATCCGTCGGACGCCCCTAGTTTAGTTCTAGTTTCAGAACAACTCACTGGAATAGAGAACTATGGGATATGGAGTCATGCTATGACAGTCTCTCTGAGGGAAAGAACAAATTAGGGTCTCTTGATGGTTTTTGCAAGAAGTCAAAGTACAATC